TCAGTGGCGCGAATGCTGTACGATCTGTCTATCGAAATCCCGTGCCCTTTAAGAAAAACGAAACATCAAACAACAAAAAAATTGCAAAAGGTGTACGGTGAAACACACAAAAAAATTCTGTTATCTTGTATTTTCCATGTTTAACTGTCTCACCCACTTTTCACCATGTTCTGTATCCTAATCCACCTATCCCCTTCACTGTCGTTGTTGTTGCGTTGGCACCATGCTTGTTTTCAAGCCGGTGGTAAATATATATATATATATATAACCGGACACGTGGCTACAGGCTCACTCTCCGGAATGTGGAGTCTACCGGATTTCCTTTAGTTTTGTCGCGTTTCTCCGAGGGTGACTACTGTCTGAAATTCATTTCCGTCGGAGTTAGTGAAGGAGCAGAAAGACACGCAATTCAAACGGCTTCTCGACGAGCATTTGGCGAGACCGTGGCAACTTGCAGACAGGTGAGCGGGTTGTTATCGGTACCGGCGCTGAAGAGGCTGACTTCTATACACGAAGATGAAGAATTGCCTTCTATTTCTATCTATCTATCGAAAATAGAGAGCATGGAAAACCTACTGTTAACATTAGATATCCTAGAAGATTTCAGAATAGAGCCTGATCCATATCCCATCCAATTTCTTTGTGATCGCATCTACAGTCCAGCAATGAAGATGGCAGTTGATTCCATTCATCTATCGCTCTACACCTAAAGAAGTTGAATCTAAGGTTCAGTCTGCTCCTCCGCTTTATTAGTTTTTTGTAACACGCATTTGTGTGGTGGATAGCAGACGGGGCAAACCCCACAATCGCGAAGGCCTGCTGCTCCGTCATAGAAATGATGCCCCGTTTTTAACTGAAGCAGTGCTTGGGTGATCAGGCTGTCCTCCTCCAGCCCTGTCAAACTGCTCCTTATTTTGAATGTCTCTATAAGGTCACCTCTCAGGTGTTTCCTTTCCATAGAGTGGAGCCCTAGAGTTTCCAAGCTCTCCTGGGATGATTTTTCTGCTTTACGGCAGACCCTTGATTTGCATAAAAGTTTTCGACTGCCGATGTTTACGTAGTTTGGTGCGGGTTGGATGCAGCGAGCGTGTAAGTAACTGAGATAAGTCGTCACTTATTTGGTTATGATTCGGTGGAAGATTCATTATCACAGAAAATTCAAATGTGTAGGCTTCGCTGGTTAGGACACGTATTGCGTATGCCCAGCTGTCCTCTACCTCATCATGCCTTATTCGCAATTGCGGCTCTAGGTTGGAGGAAACCCCGTGGAGGCCAACAGATGACATAGAAACAAGGCCTGGAAAAATGCACATAGCGATTAGGTAGAGTAGTTGTCTCCCATCTTGCATGTTGGGGTTCGATTGTAGACGTTGAAGGATCTCGAGAAGTGGTGGGTAACAAAATGCGGAGATAGTGAAAGGTGCGTCTATTGGTAATATTCACACTCTGTTCCTTCTAATTGGGAATACGGGCCCCACGAAAATAGGCGTGAGGTTATTGAGGATTCCGATAGCGATAGTCTTGGAGTTGAAGAAACTCCTGGGTTCGGTACGGGAGAGCGAACAGGTTCCAACCGAATGGTGTGAATCCGTCATCCTACCAATTTGACAAGAAAGGTGACAGATCCTCTTGTGAAAACCACAGGGGAATTAGTTTAACCAACATTACCTCCAAACTCCTCGCTGTGATTATACTCCTTCGGTTGTCTGTTGCACGTGAACAATGCATGCGTGAGAATTGGGATGATTGTAGACCTAGTCGATGTTGTATAGACCACCTTTTCACTCTTCACCAAATTCTGGAGCATCCACATTCCTTAGACCCACCATCTATGTTTTCCTCAATCTGAAAACAGCCTACAACTCAGTCAACCGCTCTCAACTGGCCCTGGCTTTACATGAGAGGTGTGCCAGAGAAGTCGGTTTCCATATGACGATCCCTTCTTCGTAATAGCCTTAACCGAGTCCCGGCTTACGGCACTCCTTCGCCTCAGTCCACTACGAAGAGGGTGTTCTCCACGTTTTCCTCTTATCTCCTTTTCTGTTTACTTTTTATAGATTTGATTATGAATACAGCCGTGTTCTCTTGCGAGGATAGTGGCATTGATTTGCTCACAGGCTACCAACTATCTAATTTGGAGTGCAGGCAACATTTCACTGCTAAGTAACAATCCGGGTAAATGTAAGTTGTTCTGTATAGTCTCATGATAGTGTATCTATATATGGTATAGGTTTTGCGTTTTGTAAAATGCTGCCACAACATTGGGTGGTCCAGCCCCCAACCTCACTATGACCGGGGAAGTAATAGAAGAATTACATAAATTTTGTTCCCCAGGCAGTTATATCTCAACTGGAAGACGCGTCACAGACGAAGTAACGCCACGCATGCCGAAGGCTCGATTGGCATTTACCAGCTTAAGACATTTGTGGCGCTGTCGCGGAATCCGGATGTCTCAACGGTCGAGTGTGTGCTGCTGCAGTTCAGTCAGTGCTGGTCTACGGTACAGAGACTTGGCCATTACGGGAACAGGATACAAATAGATTGTCGGTGTTCGAACACCGCTATCTATGTCGCATTGCACGAGTTTAGTGGGGAAACCGGATAAGAAACGCTGAGGTTAGGCCTAGAGTTTTAGGTAATCGCGGTCGTTAACTGTTTTGGTGGTAGGCGGCTTTGCTGTCGTTCGGTTAAATACCACGTCTAACCTAGCGGGGCCTTATTTGGTTCGCCACTCCAAGTCTCGGGGCTTGGGTTGTCGGTTTCCATCATTGAACAACAGGTCCTCGTGACTATGGGGTTTACCCCATCTGCTGTTTATCACACTAGGTGTGTCATAAAGTAATAAGTGATCGACCTCCACAGATTACGCGGTTGGGATACGTGCTGCGCATGCCACCAAATAGGTTGCCACAGCGAGCGATGTTTGCCGGGGCAGGCAATGAATGGAAAAGACCAAGGGCGGTCAAACTAAGACCTGGCCTGAGGGTATGAAAACCCTAATCGGGAGATCGGGTCACATTGGTCTTGGTAGGCTCCCTGGATGGGGACTCAGACATCATGTACACCGGTATTTAGATGCGCTGAGTGATACGACTGAGTATCGCAAACAGTAGCGCTCGTGCATCTACTCTGTATTCTTGCAACCACAGTCTATATAAATTCTCTATATTGTCTTTAACTCTGCTCTCAACATTCCAATCTTCATTCTGATCTTTTATCCAAATGGGTGGTCAAAAGACAGCATACAAACCCGGTACACAAAAGTGCATGAATAATGGTTGTAAAAACTGAAACTGAGTATAGCCATAGTCTTTATGTGTTTTGCACCTTCAAAATGTAAAACAGTACTACAGGCTGGGCTCTTCCATCTACCAGCCTCCACCCTAAGTGGGGAATAAATAGAGCAAGGTATCGTGTATAACACTTCGTCTACTGCATATCGTTGTATTCATAACATTTCTCTTTTATACGTTTTAGCCGGTATGCCGGAGTTGTTAGACGAATAAAGCCTTACATCTCCGGGCTCCCAATCTTCTCTCTCTCGAGCAACTACCGACTGTTGTCATCTCGTATTCAGTACGTAACAATTTATTCGTCTAACAATGGATCGGCCTTATCGACCGGAAAGCTTCACCGCGGATCCAAGTTGTCCCTCAGCCGCGAAAGTCTGGAATCATTGGCTTCGCACATTTACCTTGTTTATCGCCAGAGCGGCAAAATCAAATGACGAAAAGCTGGAGCACCTCATTGGATGTGTTTCTACCGCCGTTTACGAGTATATTGCCGAGAGTGAAACGTTCCAATGCGCTATGGCGATTCTATAGAAGCTTTATGTGAAACCGAAGAACGAGGTTTTTGCTCGACACATACTGTCTATCAGTAAACAGGGGGCAGGTCAGAGTCTTGATAAGTTTATGCAGAAACTGAAATCACTTGCAAAAGACTGCAACTTTGTAGCCGTCACGGCCGAACAAAACCAAAACAACGCCATACGAGATGCTTTCATCAGTGGAATGCAGTCCAGTAGCATCCGCCAACGCCTCTTGAAAAACCGGACACGACCTAGAGACAGCATACGAACAGGCTAGAACCTTGTAGATGGCATATCAACAGTCCAGCGTTTTCCACCCAGTCGATTACGCTTACACAACTGCAGCCGTTGACTCCAAGCCACAGAACGAGTCTACATCGAACTTGGTGCCTCGCCAACCCAATTCACTGGAAGAAAGTATAGCCGCTATGAGCAACATTTGCTGTTTCTCCTACGGATATTCCAAACATCCTCGTTTCAAGTGTCCGGCTAAAGATGCAATCTGCAAGTCTTGTCGATCCAAACCAAACTCAAATTCATCGTCTGTTACCAGCTCTCTGATATCCTCCATCACTTTCGCTGCAGCTCCATTATGTCTGCCCAATGCAGTCATCCGGCTCTCCG